AACTACGCCATGGTTGATCGGGTGCCTTCGTTACTGCACCAGCTTGCCCGTTTCGACCGCTCGACCATCCTGTCCGCGGGAGACCTGGCTTCCAAGCTGAACACTGAACTGCAGGCTGTGTCTGAAGACCCCCGCCTCTTGCTGCGAGCCCCCGCTGCAGGGGAGACTGTCCCTGGACCAGCGGAGCAGCCGGTCGCCAGAGCTACTCACCTGCCCGACAACGAGGAGTTTCTGCAAGCTCTGGTGGACACAGTGTTCAAAGTGTCGGTGCTGCCGGGCAATGTCGGCTACATGCGCTTCGATGAGTTTGCCGATGCTTCCGTGCTAGGCAAGCTCGGGCCTTACATCGTGCACCGAGTCTGGGAGCCCCTGCAGGCCACGGACAACCTGATTGTGGACTTGCGCTACAACCCCGGGGGCCCGTCTTCGAGCGCCGTGCCAATTTTGCTTTCCTACTTCCAGGACCCCTCCGCCGGCCTCGTGCGCCTCTTCACGACTTACGACAGGCGTACGAACGTCACCCAGGACCACAACAGCCGGCTGGAAATGTTAGGCACGCCCTACGGAGCCCTGCGCGGCGTCTACCTGCTCACCAGCCACCACACGGCCACGGCGGCTGAGGAATTTGCCTACCTGATGCAGTCCCTCGGCCGCGCCACTCTGGTTGGCGAGATCACCGCAGGAAGTCTGTTCCACACGCACACCTTCTGCATCATGCCGCTCAGAGATGGGGCAGGCTGTGGCCTCCTCATCAACGTCCCCATCATCTCCTTCATTGACAACCATGGGGACTACTGGCTTGGCGGCGGGGTGGTGCCCGACGCCATCGTGCTTGCTGACGAGGCTCTAGAGAAAGCCCAGGAGGTTCTGGAGTTCCACAAGGGCATGGGAGCTCTCGTCGAAGGCGTCGGGCAGTTGCTGGAGGCCCACTACGCCATTCCCGAAATGGCCAGGCGGGTTAGTGGCATTCTGAGCTCCAAGTTGGCCCAAGGCGGGTATCACACCGCGGTGGACTTTGAAACACTGGCTTCTCAGCTGACCGGCGACCTCCAAGAGGCCTCCGGAGACCACCAACTGCACATCTTCCACAGCCATGTGGAGCCTTCCCCGGAGGAGCAGCCTCCCAACAAGACCCCCACGCCCGAGGAGCTGAGCTACATCATCGAGGCCCTCTTCAAAGTGGATGTGTTGCCCGGCAACGTGGGATACCTGCGCTTCGACATGATGGCCGAGGCGGAGACCGTGAAGGCCATCGGGCCCCAGCTCCTGCACATGGTGTGGGAGAAGCTCGTGGACACCTCCGCCATGATTGTCGACATGCGCTACAACACGGGCAGCTACTCCAGCGCAGTGCCCATCTTCTGCTCCTACTTCTTCGACGCCGAGCCCCAGCAGCACCTCTACACCATTTTCGACCGGAGCACCTCCCACAGCGCTGAAGTGTGGACCTTGCCGAAGGTGTCCGGCAAACGTTACGGCTCGGCGAAGGACGTCTTCATCCTCATTAGCCACATGAGCGGCTCGGCCGCGGAGACTTTCACGCGCTCAATGAAGGACCTCCACCGGGCCACCGTCATCGGGGAGCCCACCGTGGGTGGCTCCCTCTCGGCAGGTATCTACCGTCTGAGCAGCAGCCCCCTGTACGCCTCCATCCCGAGCCAGGTGGTGCTCAGCCCGCTCACCGGCAAAGTGTGGAGCCTGTCTGGGCTGGAGCCGCACGTCACCACCCAAGCGACGGAGGCCCTGGCGTCCGCCCAGAACATCATCGGCTTGCGGGCCAAGCTGCCCGACGTGCTGCAGACAGTGGGCAAACTGATTGCTGACAACTATGCCTTTGCCAACCTCGGGGCCGAAGTGGCAACCAGGCTGGCCGACCTGGCCTACAAAGACCCTTACAGGAGGATCAATAGCGAGGCGGAGCTCGCTGAGGTCATGGCAGCTGACCTGCAGGCTCTTTCTGGAGATGTGCACCTGAAGATAGCCCACATCCCTGATCACTTGAAGGAACGCATCCTTGGGAGTGGACCCATGCAGGTAAGTCCTGGATTAGACTGTCTTCTGACC